CTCTTGCTGGGAATGTACTGATACAGCTACTATGGAGGGCAGTATGGAGGTTTGTTAAAAATCTGAAAATAGGACTACCATATGACACAGCTATCCCATTACTTGGCAATAGCTTGAGAAAACCATAATTTGAAAAGACACATGCACCCTACTGTTCATGGGGTTGCAAGGAGCCAGACAGGACTGAGCAGCTAGCACAGAGTATTTATACACACACACACACACACACACACACACACATATATGCAGGAAAAGAGAAACAGATGTAAAGAACAGACCCTTTGACTCCATGGGAGAAGGTGAAGGTGGGATGATTTGAGAGAATAGCATTGGAACATGTATATTACCATATGTGAAATAGATAGCCAGTCCAGGTTTGATGCATGAGACAGGTGCACGGGGATGACCCTGAGGGATGGGATGGGGAGGGAGGTGGGAGGAGGGTTAAGGATGGGGGACATATGTACACCCATGGCTGATTCATGTGAATGTATGGCAAAAACCAATACAATAATGTAAAGTAATTGGCCTCCAATTAATATAAATAAATTTATAAAAAATACGAACACCATGGACAGCATAAATAAGCAAAATGTTATCCATCTATTTCTAATGAATGTTATAATTAATGGGGACATTTCTTTTTCAGGAAAAAATCTGAACATTAATAGAAATAAATTAAGGAAACTTAAAAACAAACAAAAAGCAACAACAGAAAAGTTACTATGCCAAACAAAACATGTCAGACACAAAGGAAAATACATAATCCGATCTGTATGAAATCCTTGAGAAGTATATCTAATCTCTGGCGATCGACAGATTATTGGCTGCCTGGGGTTGATTGAAGTGGTTGGGAAAAGGACAAGAGAATATTTGGGGTGATGGATACATTCTATATCTGTTACATGTATAGGTAACCCTCAAACAACACAGGTGTGAATTGCACAGGTCCTCTTACAGCTGGATTTTTTTGATAAATACATCCTATGATATGACCCATGATTTTTTAATCTACAGATGTGAAACTGAGGCTACAGAGGGCTGATTGTAAAGTGTACACATATTTTTTGACCCCATGGAGGGTCTTAATACATTTTTGCTTTCAAATAACTAAATTTTCTAAAGGGAATGCTGCTCAGAGATATAAGTTGTTACTTTCATCTCCACCTGCCTACCTCCCATCTTCATGTTGATATCTGAGAGATGCCTCAACCTCAGTCAAGTCCATAGTCGTGACTTGTCACTTACCATTTGTTCTTCCAGGGGCCTCCCCCATAGTTGTCACCGCTTCTTGTTTCTCAGGCCCAAACAATGGTGTCATTCTTGGCTGCTTCCTTTCCACCAACTCCAGATATGAAGATATGAATTGAAAAATAAAGTTGATTCTGTATTTCAAATGTATCTAGTCCTACCCAAATATGAGCACTTACTTTATTACACTACTAGTACCAGTCAGCAGTGAAGTGAATTTTAAGTCAATGGTACTTTATTTACTGCCCATGTAGATGGAATAAAATGAATCCAACAAGTCAGTTCCAAGTGAATAGCGAATCTAAATGGGAAGACAAGAAAAACTGGAAGATGACATTGGGGAATATCTTCATGATTTCAGGTAGGCAAAAATCCAAGGACAGGAAACTCTGCTCTGTTCATGGTGTATCTCCAGTGTAGATGCCCAGTATTTACAGAAGGAACATAAAGGAAACTTCAACAAAATCTGTAGAAATCTACACACATGTAAGTACTTGGGTCATTGTGAAGACACACAGTGTTCTTAATGAACAGATTGAATGTTAGAAATGTCACTTCTTATTAGTCTAACATCTAATGCAATCCTAATTAAATAACATTCAGACTGATTTTCAGGATAAACTGGTTCTAAGCTTCACACAGAAAAACTGAGCAAGAATACCTCAAGAAACCCTCGAGGGAAAAAAATCAGGTCAAGTGATGAGGGGTGATAAGGCCTACCAGGAGATGAGACATATTTTAAAGCCATGATTATTATAATTTTGTTGAAGAATCCAGGCCACTATGTAGTACAAAGTGCATTATTGGCTCATGAACCACTACTGAAAATACTGCCTATTGTTAAGCCTCCCCATTCAGAGATCTGAGAAGTGTGAAGACACATGTGCCTTGGACTGCTGTTGATGCATGGATTCTCAGAGAGATGAAGAGAACAATGAAAAAGCCAGATACAGACTCCCAAACATGCATACTTTTAGTAGATTAACATAATATTTCAGATAGTGGGGAAAAGGGAGATCTTTTCTTGACTGATAGTCAGAAATCTAGATAGTCATCTAGGAAAGAATATTCTTCTCTCACACTATATATATATACACACACACACCTCCTACAGCTGGCCCAAAGGTGTTCAACCAAAAGCCAAGAGACGAGCAGTTGTGTAGAAGCCAAGGGATAACAATTATTATATCATCAGAATAGTAAAGGCCTTTCCAAATACTCCAAAAGTCACACAAACTGATAATCTGCGTAAAAATGAAACCCAGTGGTGAGGCCAATCCTGTCCCAGAATTGAAGTGAAAACCCAAAAGGAAAGCTGGGAGGTAGCCTAGCCCCTTGCCCCAATCATCGTGTTTTCAGGGTCCTCATTCTCCCCAGAACCCCACCCACATGGCTGGTGCTGTTCCAATTGATATGGGCCCTCAGTCAGTTCCTAGAAGGAGAGGGTCACTTATATAAAAAGCAGGTTGAACGGTGCCCCCAAAAGAAGTGTGCCCCAGAAACTGTGAAGGGATCTTGTCTGAGAAAAGGGTCTTTGATATCAGTAGACTTGCTCCACAAAGGGCTGCTACAAACCATCTATTTGTTTAAAACTTTTTTTTCAAGGGACAGATGTGTGAAGGGTGATAAATGAAGACTCAGTAAGCCAAGACATGCCTGTGCTTAGTGTAGCCTCAGAGGATGCCTCGGTGGCCCCTACCCACTGACCTAGCAGAACAGGATCATCCAGCATTGCAACATCGAAATCTGTTGGAGCTGGCCTGTGCTCTGCCTTCCCTGATGTCCTACAAGCTCTTCTGCTTTTAATGGTCTCTTGAAGTAACAGCTCTATTGAGATAAAATTAATATTAACAGGTGATTCATCCATCTAGAGCTTACAATTCAGTGGTTTTTATTATATTCAAAAATAACCATTACACTGTGTAATTTCAGAATCTTTCATCAGCTCAAGATGAAAACTAGGGACTTCCCTGGTGGCCCAGTGGTTGAGAGCTCACCTTGCAATTCAGGGGACTCAGGAAGTGGAATCACACATGCCATGAAGCAGCTGGGTCTATGCACCACAGCTGAGGCCTGCCCACTCTGGAGGCCACACGACACACCAGAGAGTCTGTGTACCACAGCAAGGGGTCTGGGAAAATGCAGTGAAGATCCAACATGCAGCAGCTAAAATGAGACGAAAACAAATATATAAAATTAAAGAAAAGAAGCATCATACTTAAGACTTTAAAACTTTAATATTTTTAGAGAAAGATTTTTAAATTCTAAAAGGTGCTGTACAATTTTCCAAAGTTTCATACCTGATTTCACCTATCACCTGTATTCCGATAATAACTTTTTTCCTCCCCCACCCCTGTATTGTTCTCCCTACTACTATATTTTATAGATATATAAAATTGTGAACTCTGAAAAATAAATGCAAAAAAAAAAAAAACCCACAAATTGATGTAGTATGCCATCTTAACAGGGCAGGGTGTTCCTCGACTTCCCTAGTGATTAGTGGGGCTGAATATTTTTAACTGGCTGGACATTTGTGTGTCTTTGGGGAAATGTCTATTTAACTTCCTTGCACATGATCTAAACAGGTTGTTTATCTTCAGTTTTAGGAGTTCTCAATATTAGAGGTATAAATCCCTTATAACGTGATTTTATCACACTAGACTTAATTTTGGGGTTGCTCAGCCTGGTCAGTGGTCACTATGGACGCCGCCCCTCCTCCATGCTCACATCCTCTGTCCTCACAGAAACATGCATGGTTCACTGCAGAGAACTTTCTGGGGCACTTGTGTATACTAGAAACGCAATGGCCAGATGCAAGGAAAAGACACAGAAAAGGACACCTGCCTCTTGAGTGCTTCCCAAATTACCAAAGACCTGAAGCCTTTGATATTTTGGATTTTGAAAATTGTTTTTAACTGTGCAAATGGAGAAAGGAGGCCCATTGGGACTAGTTGATATCCATTGGGAAAGGATGTTAGATCCCTACCTCACAAAACACCACCAAAGATTAGACACATACCAAGAACCAACACTTCAAAGGAAAACTTGACAAATTTTAGAACAATTTTTGATGAGTGAATCTTTTTTTTTATTGAGGTATGTTGATTTTTAATGATTTGTTAGTTTAAGGTGTACAGCAAAGTGATTCCATGATTCAGTCTCTCAGGTGCTTCCTTGGACAAAACTCACTCCCTTTAGGAGGCTCCTGGGCCATGTCCTCTAACTCAAAACAGCTCATAATCCTGAAAACACAGAGCAGGAAGTGGTGTTGCTTGTGGGGTTTTTTTGACTGAATAAATTATTCTAACAAGACACAAAAAACAAGCCTAGAGGCTAGGAGAGGATCTCCAAACCTATCTTCAAACAGGAGGCCTTCCTCCCTTGAATGTGGGTGTGTGAAACTGGGCTTGGGAAGGGAAGAGGTGTGTCAGGAATATTTTGTCAGGAGAGAACAAAGTGGTGTATGGAGAGGATGGCAGGCACGTCCCAGGACATGAGCACTGGGACACAGTGCCTGCACTCTCATTCCTGCTCTTGGGGCATCGCACTGTCTCGCACCCTCGACACAGCTCAAATGTGAGTCCTGGAGAGTATGGTCACATGACCTGGACCTGGTCAATTGGTGTGTTCCATCCTCCCTGGCCACCGTGATTGGCTTAGGACTGGGGCGGTGACCAATCCGGGCCCAAGGCCCGGCCTCACACTGGAATCAAGGGGAAGAAGAGGTCTCGTTCTGCCGGAAAGGGTGGGGCCGGATGATGTCAGTCTACAGCAGTGGGAGGGGTGTGAGGTCGGCCTGGGGCGGTTGGTGGCCTTCCAGCTCCCATCAGGACAGAGTCGCCGTCTTGAGGATGAGGGCGCTGCTGAGCCCAGGTGTTGAGAGCGCCCGTTCCTGGTGTGGACCCGGAGCTCCTCCTGAGACCTGAAGGAAACCGTCTGCTCGAGAGTCCTCTTCTGCTTGTCTGTCAGCTTGTTTGAACCTCGCTGGGTTTTCTGTCCAGCAGGCTAAGTGGAGACCTGCAAATGCAACTGTCTGGGTTTTGGCTGGCTTCAGGGAAGAAAGGCCGGATCACACTGGGAGACTCCAATTTAATCTGGATTCAGGTGATAGCTCTTCGGACCAGATATTAATTCTAGGATAACCCAAATTAGTCTTCGCAGGATTAAGATAGCATCCTGCTAAGAGAGCAATTGATGTCCTCATTCTAGAGGATGAAACTGGTGCTCAAAGAAGGGGCACCTTGGATACTGCAAGGAGATGTGGACCCAGACAGAACCCTCAGATTCTACCATTTGAACTCAGGGAAGCCACTGGTGTGGGTTGTCTCTGTGACCCGGGCTAAGGCACCCAGCCCACACGACACTGCCGGGGCCTGACTTGCTAACTGCCATCTAGTAGCTTTGAGACTCACAAAAGCAGTTTGCGCTGAGGAGAGGAAGGGCACCTCTCTTCATCCACCCCACCACACCCTCCAGATTCCCACTTACACTGACACCTTTCTCTCGATTTCTGAGGAAGTGACAGAGTCACCCTCATGTGACCACATTTGCTGACTACTGTTCACGGGCTGCCATGTGGAGCTGCTACAGGAGAAGCCAACAGCCTTTGCATCTGAGTACCTCTGTTTCTTTGGACCTTGGGGGCCCTATTCCCCACTCGCACACCACAGGCCTTTCCAAGAATTGTGGGGACCCTCACTCAGCTTGCAGCACGTTGTATCCCTCGCTGTCCTTGCCATCCCTCCCTTGAAACTCAGCTTGTGAGCTCCTTTGTCTGCAGCTTGGCCCGCCTGGCTGCCACCGGACGGACAGAGCTGACAATGAAAAACAGCTCAGATCTGACAGCTCAGAAGCTCTGTAAAAAAGGACCTCACTCTTCACGCTGTAGAGGCTGATGTAGCCTCCAGGGTTCTGGAACCAGTGCTCGGGCCAAAGTGCATTAAAAAGCCTGTGGAGGGTTCTGGCTATAATGGCAATGGTTTGAGTCTCCTAAGGTTCTGAAGGCCCACTGTGTGCAGGTTCATGGTGCCCAGAGAGGAGAAGGTGGAGGCCTGCCCTGGAGGTGGTGAGAGCTCATGGATGAGTCAGACAGGCAGGCAGGGCACGATGGCACCTGAGCTGCCTTCATGAGGGAGTGGTGTGGGGCCAGAGGACGAGAACCAGGTCTGCTCCCTCGTGTGGTGCCCAGGGCAGGTTGTCACCAGAGGAAAAAGTTACCATGGTGATGACCATCACTGCTGTGTGCAAAGGGTTTACATTGGTGTGTGTCTTATCCTGAGTGGGCAGGTCATCTATAAACTACACTGGCCATGGTCATGGCCTCTTCTTGGACTTCCTGTGTGTTCTATTCTTTATGGAACATTGATTTCCTTGAGGGTTTTGGGGCCACAAGGATGTTGGGTCATTCTCTAGCCTTCTCTCATGAGGGATGCTTTACCAGTTATTTTTGTGGTTTCTTTTTCCAGCTCTCTTTCTTGGCTTATTTTGTGAGTTTGTGCCACAAGAAGAGCTCAGCATTTGCCTTCTGGTTGAGATGTCACACTTACAACAGAAATGCCTGCCTGGAGATTATGACATTTGCCAAAAGGGCTTCATTTGGCCAATGATATCTTGAAAGTACCTACACCATCCTTTCAGATACCCAAAGGTACTTCAAATGAAACAAAAACAAGAATTCTGAAATGTAGTCTTACACCATGAGGGGAGTCAGAGAAAATCTACTTCTATCATTTCACTGATAGTCATTGATTGGAGACACCCAGAATATAGGAAGAAAAGAAGAAAGAACAGGATTAAAGTTTTTTCAAGACAGGGGGAGGGATGAACAGGAACCTGAATACAGAATTTATTGGGAGATGGGGTGGAAAGATTGAAAGGTTCTGACACTACAAATTGGTGATGGTTACACAGTATTTTCAAAGTCCTCAGTGTTCCCAAATTGCAACAATTATGATAAAATGTATTTAAAAACTTAACGGGAAAAAAATACAGAAAGCCAAAAAAAAAAAGAGAAAGTTCCAGACAAACCAAATGAAAAGTCTCTTAGGGGAAGGGCACTCACTCTCCCCTGTGTTGGGAGCAAGTTGATGACATCGATGGGGGGCAGACAGGGATAGAGGCTGCAGAGCCAACCCTGCCCTTGGACAGGGTGTTTCTAGAAATGGAAAGGTAAAGGGCTCTGAGTCTCTGTCCAGAGTGGGAGCCTGCTCTCCCTGCATCGGTGGGTCAGTCATCGTGGACATCTGGGTCTTGGGCAGGAGCCAGGGCAGGCTCTCCCTGCAGAGGTGGTAACTCATGCCCTGACTCGGGTTCTCCTGCCAAAGCCCGAGCAGGTGCAGGTGCAGGTGGAGGTGGACGTTCGGGCTGAGGGCGTGCGACATCGGTGCCTGGGGCTGGGGGTCCTGCAGGCACAGAGCTCCGATCTGCCCAGTGTGCTGGCCAGTACCCAGCTGGCCCGGTGTCTTTGGGAGAGAAAGGCTCAAGTCTTGATCTCCCCTCAGTGGATCCCTGGGTCCTGCATCTGGAGCAACCACCTCTGTAGGGACAGGTCTTGGAAGTGGAGCCTGGTTGAATTTGAAGGCCGGTGTTAGAGCTGTGAGAGAAGAAGAGGTTACCCACAGGCCAGCCTTGTCATGTTCGTATCTGGGGACAGAAAGCTTCCCTGAGTTTTCCAAAGAATATCCAGCATAGGATGCTTTCTCTGACTGCAGTCTGCAAGATGGTGTGAGGCCAGCCTTTGCTCCAGGCCCAGCCCCAGCTCTGGAGGACTCCTCCCTGGGAAGCTCCGCACCCCTCCCCACGCACTCAGATGCCCAGCCCCAGCCTCCTCACCTGTGTGCTCTGCCGCGCTGGGCTCCAGGTCCTCGTGCTGCCTCAGACGGATGCGTCCTCGGGGCTCTGGGTCGGAGCCGGGTGTGCTGAGCCCCGTAGCAGCCCGAGACTGGGCCCCGGGGTGTTTCCTGGGTGGTTTCTGGGGAGGCCTTCCCCTCTTGCTCTTCACTCCCCCTTGGGCTGAGCCCTCCATGGGCACGCTCACCTGGACCCTGCGCTGGGCCTCCCGGGCAGGGGGGTGGGGCTCCGCCCCCTCCCTCGAGGAGGTGGACGGCGTGTCCCCCTCGGAGGCCACATCCAGTGGGAAGCTCTGCAACGACAGTAACCGTCAGCCAGGCCTGCTTGGTGTTTTCTGAGCTGGGCCTGGCCAGTATGGCTGCTGCTTCTGCCCACTTGAATTTCTGCTCCCAGAAGAGACGTGTGTCTGCTCAGATACCCACCCGGGAGGAAGGAGACACCTCTTAGGGCATAAAGTCAACCTGGGCAGCCAGCGCTGCCTGGACTCTCCCCATCCCGCCCAGCCTGCTCTCCCCTGGGGTGGGGATGCCACCGGCCCACAGGCTTCTGACCGCCCATCCGTCTGGGCTTGCTTGAGGCAGACACACCCCGAGAATACCCCGTCCCCATTCACAGGGAAAGGACTCAGGGTTGCCCGGGTGGGATGGGAGAGGTGGCCGGGCCTGGCCTGGGGCTCCCGTGTTACCTTCCTGTCCCTTCGGGCAAAGGGCCAGAGGCCTCCTCGGGGGGCCCTGAGCCATCGTCGACAGCGATCCCACACACTCCGCCTGTGAGCCCTCCTGAGGCCCCGGCCTCTGGGCAGGGGCAAACAGCAGAACATCTTGGCAGCAAGTGATCTGGCTGGGGTCTCCTCTCGCAGTGGAGCCTGGATACCTGGGTTCTGGGTCCTGTTGGGTTCTGTTGCCAGGAAGTGACATCATTTCCTGGGTTCGTTGCTGAGGTCCCTTACACAGAGCTCCCCAAGGGAACCTCGGTGTTTCTGACTGTTCACCCACACCGTTAGGCCACGTGTGGGCACAGTGACACCGACACCGCCCAGCCCTCAGCCTTGGGGAGGCCTGGGTGCCGCCAGGGTCTGAGCTCTGAGGACACAGCTGCTTTCATACCAGGCTCCTCCTTCTCATAAGTGACGTGGCCCTGGACAAGCATGTGCCCCTCAGGGCTTCCCCCATCTCTCCATATGCAAAGTGGGGATCTTTCTCCCATCTCCTGTCTAGGCCTTTTGGCCTGTGAACAGCTGCAGTTCCTGTTCAACCCATGGGCTGGTATCACGTGAATCTCATGCACTGAGACTTCACACACGAAGGATTCAATACAGAGCCAACATTGCACAGAATGGGGCAGAAACAGGCCTCAATGGGTTCTGGGACCTAGGAAAAGACACTCCCCTTCCTGCCTATTTCGAGATGCCCCCCCCCCCCCCCCCCCCCAGTTTGTGGTCTTTGATGATCAGCTTTGGAACTTCATG